TATTCACGCCCTATTTTGCCTAAATTAAACCGATAAGGAAATCTCAAATTTTTGACCAAAACAATTGACTAACCCCTTTACAAAAAGACAAAATTTGCGACTTTCCTAAATCGACAATTTTGTAGTTTAAAAACAGTTATTTTTATTATATCTTCACCAAAAACTTGTTCTCGGCCTATTTTATCTAAATAAAATAGATGAAATAATTTCAATTTGTTGACTAAAACAATGGTGATAAGCCCTTTTGAAAAAGGAAAATTTTGCGACTTTCTTAAATGGTTGTTTTTATAGTCTAAAAAGAATTATAATTTTCTATCGAGATCGTCGCGAAACACTTAATATAGGCATATTTTACCTAAATTAAAGAGACAAAGATATTTCATATTTTTGACCGAAACCAAGGACTAACACCTTTGCAAAAATGTAAACTGATTTGGGACTATCCTAAATCGATGATTTTATAGTCTAAAAAGACTGATTTTCTATCTAACTAGTCACCAAACACTTTATTGACCTATTTTGCCTAATTTAAAAGGATAATTAAAGGAAATTTTACATTTCTGACCAAAACCATGGCCTAGCCTATTGGAAAAAATGCACATTTTGATACTCTCTAAATCTTCGATGTTTTCATAGTCTAAAAGACTTACAATATTCCATCAAGATCGTCAACAAACAAACTTTCTGGGCCTATGTCACCAAAAAAATGCCAGTTTTGCTACTTTGCTTAGTTGACATTTTCATAGTGTACGAAAAGATTAATTTTCTATCTAGGCCGTCACGAAACACTTTTTCTCCGCCTGTTTTATTACATGGCCGGAGGCGATCCATTAAACGTTTTTTGAGTCTTTGCAAACATTTTTAAGATGTTTTCGCTGATAGCCAAAACCGACTGTTTAAAATCTTGAAATATTCTTTCCACTACTATCAATTATTAAATCATGCTTCCTTTGAAATATAATTAATTTTTCTCCGTTAATTAATTTTTTCTTATTAATGATGATGTTATTTTACCTTTAAGGAACAAGGCGACTACTCAGCACTGGCACATCAAACCATTTTTAAGACATAAAACTCCTACACGAATTTTGGACAATAATGAGATCTGAGTTATTCTTTTTTTTTTCAGCTTAAGAAAAGCGCAGATAATATATTAATATCCTAACAGGCGAATAACTAGGTTTTTTAAGGTGGCTCGACTGGATTTTTTTGGGGGGATACCTCCTACGTTTGAGCTTTAACTACGTCAGCATGAGTAAAGATATGGGAAAAAGGTTACCACAACTGTATTATATAATGATGAAAATTTCTTATGATCTGGGTTTTATTGCAATCGGAGTCGCCATGGCAACGTAATGACACCATTACGCTTTTTATTTATCTTTGTGTCTCTCTGTACCAGGAGTTTTTTGAAGAAATCGCTTAAGGGGGTATGTACCTGCCATAATTGCCTCCATTATGGCAAAGTTTCAACAAATTCCATGAGAGCGTTTCGAAATATTTTGACACGCAGTTTTAACAATCATAAAAACAGTGAAATAGCATGCTATCCACACAATTCGCTAATATTTTAAGAACCTGGTAAGGTTTGGAAACGCGGCTTCATCCCATAGTGGTTTGATTCCATTGAAAACTGCATTTAAAAAAACGGGGGGAGTTACTCTGAGCGATCGCGAGTAAGAAGAATTTTATTGACTTGCATTCAGCTGCTTTTGTTACAGTTTTTGGACGTAATTTGGTCCATGCCTACAAATTTCGCATTTTTCAAAAAACCGCTCGATTAAATTTTTTATAAATTCGACAATCTGGAGATCAATTGTTGATCAATATTCCCTGCAAGTTTCAAGAACATTGAAAACAGGGAAGGCTTTTAAATAGGGCCTCAAATATAACCAATTTTTTCCCCCGATTTTGTGTTTACAAGTGAGCGTCCTCATTATTCACTGGCATTGTTTTCAAGGACAATTTACGTTAAAACTGATCTATAGTGGTGTCTGTGGCTAGAATAGACCTTAACTAGCTTTCCTCTGAAACAGGAAATAATATTAAAAGGACGGGTGGTTTTGTTAGCTTCGCTACTGTTTTACAAGAGTGTTAATATATCCTACAGTTTACAAGCGAAAACTGATGATCGTCACCAAACACATTTTCTGGGCCTGTCACCTAAAATAAAAATAATGAAAAAATTCAAATTGTTGGGAAAACCATTGCCAGTTTTGCGACTTTGCTTAGTTGACATTTTCATAGTGTAGATAAATACCAATTCTCTAAATTGCTAAAACCGACTGACATCTTCTTACCACCGTTACCAGTTATTAAATCATGCATCCTTTGAAATATAATTAATAATTAATTAATTTTTTCTTATTAATGATTATGCTATTTTGCGTTCAAGGAACAAGGCGACTAATCAGCTCCCAATCAAACTATTTTTAAGGCAGGAAGAAAGCAAAAATCCTACCCGAATTCCGGACAAAAACGAGATCTGAGTTAGTCTTTTTTTTTTCAGCTTAAGAAATGCACATGCGCCTTCCATGTAATTAACAGCACCTTAATTAAAACAGCAATTCTTCATTAAAAAGCAAACAAACAGAAAACAATGGCTCGAGGACGTTTTATGTTGAAACTGATCCGTAGTGGTGTCTGTGGCTAGAATAGACCTGAAATAGCTTTCATGTGAAACAGGAAATAATACAAAAAGGACTGGTGGTTTTGTTAGCTTTGCTATCACAAGAGTATTAATTTATCCTCCAGTTTACAAGCGAAAACACACCCTTTTGTACTTCTTGAGTTCTCACCACGGAAATGTTTTCTCCATTTTTTCGTTGGTTTCTTTTCTTCGTGTCATCTTTAAAGATACTTGAAGCACAATACGAACAAGGTTAGTTTGGCATTTTTTTTGTCTTCTTTTATTGTCACAAACAAAGCCAGTTAAAACCTAGCTTCAAAAGCCTCAAAATTACAGGAAAACTGATAACATTTTTTAAATTTTAAGACAATAGCAAAGTATAAAGAAAGATTTTTCATCATAAGAAGATTCAAATATTTTACTAAGAAGTATCCTCCAAGAATTAATTGAATTAAATGAAATGAATTGTTAGAACGTTTGTTATCTTTGTTTCCCAATTTGGTTGACGCCCCAATTTAACCTTGTACGTTCTACAAAAAACGAGTTTGAAGCCTATTTGAGCTTACTGTCTAGAAATTAAGAATTAAGAATTTAAAAGTATCCAAAAAACGTTTATCCACATGTGTAAAAATCCGCGGCAGGTGCAAAATTTCAGCTCTCTGGGCTCTAGTGGCAAGCGCAGAATAGTTAGTTTTGAAGAATTTGCACAATTATTTTAAAGTTTGACGAGGTACCAGTCAGTTAAATTCTTATTTGAATTTTTTTGCTTAAAGTTGACGGATTTATTGCGTGAATTTTTGGCCGTTTAAGTAGAATCAAAAGAATTTGTTTTTTACTTTTTTATTATGATAGAATTGCAGGCAACGCACCACCCAGATCTTCGTCAAGATGTTCTTGTAAAAGACGAATACCACTTTCTAAGCGTCTCTGGAATTGGAACGATTACGGTGTACGACACCTTTGACTGCACCTTTGAATGTCTCAGCAATCCTTCATGTTTGTCTCTGAATCTGGCCGCCTCCAAAAGAGCCGATCGAAAACTTTGGTGCGAATTGTTGACTTCGAATAAAGACATCAACCCAGATGCGTACAAAGAAAACAAGACTTCACATCACTTTTCCATGAAGGTGCGAATTGAGTTTTAGCTAAAAGCGTTAGTTTTATTAATAATCCTGTCGTCTCAGATAAAAATCTCAGCAGATTAATTTGATCTCAGGATGCGAGAGTATGTGCAGGAAGCATTCGAAGGTTCTGGTAGCGGAAAGAACTTAAGAGCTCAAAGAGGGTAAAACCGGTTGTTTTTGTTTTTGTCTTTTTTTTAACGTATTATGATGATGAATTATAAGACAATTCTTGTATTTTCATTTAGTGGTATATCGTGGGCAGTGACCTTTTTTTGCCCCTCCAGCGGCAGACAACAAATTGCCTGCGCCGCAGACTCACTGAACCTTGTGTATAGTGCGTCTGCGAACCAGCACACAATACCGTGTTCGAACCCGCAGAGTCGCAAGGACTTGTATCGGCTTTTTTGATTGGCTAGTTTGTTACGCAGTTCGTGATACTGATAGTTCGTGACAAGGGAGATTGAGCTCGTGATAGTGTGAAACCTGACCTTGGAGTCTGCTTGAAAAACGGAACTTTTCCTTGCTCTCTTTTTGAGTAGTTTATGCAGTGCCATATTCAATATTATATAAAGAAAATTCTAGGCAACATTTGCTACTCCGAATACAGATATTTTACAGAAAACAGTCATGGGTGACCCTTATTCTACACTTTGACTGAGCAAATTTTTTTGCCGCTTTGAGTCTCACACTTAGAGGTTATGAAGCTGGTCTGTTCCATGCATATTGAGTAATTAGTTCCTGTGGGTTATGTTTCTGCAGATGTTTTCTGACAGGATTTGATCACAGATGCAGTTTACCATGCACCATTAAATGATCTTGTTCAGTACCTCTGTTTGAGCTTTTGTTATTGCGGCTAAATAACCTTAGTTTCTTTGGTTTGCTACGAAATGCCTGGACCTGAATAGCTACATGTGTGTAAGTGTTTTTGGCCGTGACTATCATTTCCTGATTTGATTTGACGCGAGGTCTATTAGCTAGATTGCAGGAATACGCGGCAGTGCATCTGCAGCGATTGGAAGAGGCTGGAAAACCAATCCGAAAATTTTCAAGCAAATTCTGGCGTTGAAGAAATTTTCTCAAAGCCTTTTTTCTGTTCAGAAGAAGGCTTTTAAGTTCGAACTGCTCTTTCATTGTTTACTGTAAACGATCCTTGCCAACTACCTTCTGTGAATTTTGACATGTCACTGCGCCCAACAGTCACGCACACGTAAGAATTAGGCCAAACGTGAGGCGAATAAGAAACTCGCCTATCAGAAACGTTCACATAATTATGTTCTTGCTACTCTGCAGGATATTAGAACGAGCTTTAATTTTGCGCACTAATTCGTAAACGGACTCTAGAGGAAAATGGTTAGACGAATGCATGGGCCGGATATAACACATAAAGGCCGGCAAACATATATTTTATTCACTCTTCATCTCGTAGAGAGATAAGTCTTAGATTGGGAAACTGAACGGAAAGTAGATAAAAGCCGGTTCCCACTAGTGTAAACTGTTGCAAACAAAATGCATAGTCGCCTGTTTTGTCTCTTCCAGGGCAGATTCCGTCCGACATCCTGCGTCGAATATGGGCAGCAAGATGCCTCCGAAGATGGCTTTTATAAGATCTATGACGACGGCGGAAACAGTTTCCCAGCCTACTGTGATCTTAAATCCGAGCCCGGTACTGCAAAACCCTGGTCATGTCTTGGAGTAGAGAGAATCGCCGTATTTCTGCGTTTTACAACACTCCACTTAACCGCAATGACCCAGAAAACGAGAACTCCCCGAACTGGGATCGTTACCGGTTAAGTCTGAAGCGAATGAGATCTTTGCAGGTCCACTCCACCCACTGGCGAGCAACATGCAGCTACCAAACCTATGGCATCGATTTCACAGACTACCTCCGTGGCAACTTCAAAGACTTCAACATTGTCGATTGCTCTGAAACAGGCCAGTGTAAGAGGGTAGAATATGTGAATATCCGAGGGCACAATGGCACGAACCTCACGGCATCATTTTGGACCGGTTGGGTTTTGCATACTGACAGCTCTTCAGATATCTGCGAGCTAAATGCGACTGTTGGAGCGATACCGAGTGAAAACAACTTTGTCTTTAATCCCAAGTTCCGCTGCACACAGGCATACAGCTCTACTACTCAGTGGTGGTTTGGAGCCCATCTTAAAAATTAGTTTCCGGAAAATAAAACAAATTTCTCAAAGAAGATCCCTTGTCAAAATGAAGGGGACCTGTAGATTGTACCGCCTTCAGTGCGCCTTTATAAACAAACAAAATGTATTCAGTATTAGTTTCGTTGATTCAAGTAAAGAGCTTTAAAATGCGAAACTGTTTCACCATACTTTGATATCAGTTAATTATGGGCTTTGACCCTAAAGCGCAACATTTTTTGCATTGCCTTAACAAGTGTCCCGTTACTGCTTTGGTAGTGAAATTTTTTGGTAAAGAGTAATCATAATAATAGACAACAACCATTCACCGAAGTGGAGGTGGCTAGTGGTGGCTATATTCCCAAGGAATATAATTTTGGTGCGCAATGACCGAACGGCCGCGGTCGTCGCTTTTTCTTGCCGACAAATAAAACTTTTGAAGGCATTTTTTTAGCTCTTGCGGGGAAATTTCTTCAAAAGGAGTTGTGAATTCTTTTTGTATTTAAAATCATTCTGTAAAAAAGATTTTTGAATTTAGTTTTAAGCTTATTTAATATGAACAAGTCAACTAAATAAAGTAACGCAAGACTTAAGCTTAATTTGCATTTGTGAACAAAAAACGTTTTCACCGGTTTTGTCGATAAATTCAAGTTAAAAAGACAAAACTTTACCTGTTAAAACGTCCAACGTCACGTTCTTCTTGTATTTCGGGAACAGCTTGCTTGATTAGTTGTGAAATTTGTTCGTTTGTTACGCCAGCAAACCGAGAACGGCATTTTGCTCGCAACTTACGCGAGTTTGGCGTCGGTCGCTCGGAGGAACTGGACGTGAATCAGTGAATAGTGCAGGATATTCACTGATTGAGTAGCCAATCAGAGCGCGCAAACAACACTATCCACTGTTTTAGTGTATACTAATAAAATAGATTTAGCCAGGGCCGTTTCTAGTAGAAGCAACAAACTTTAAACTTATTAAGTTAACTGAAAGCCATGACAAAGAAATAATTATTCAAATCCCTACTTAACATTTGGAGCCTTTCATTTACCTTTAGAGCGAAAGGGTTTCAGTTGATTAAGAATAAAAAATATCCCGTAATACACATCTGAAATGAATAGACTCTCCGGCCATCGAGTTCAAAGTCTTCTGTTATACCGACCCTGAAAGTGGACTCACAGCTTTACACGCGAAACCGTTCTTGAGGTGGGTGGGATCTTAAAGGTTGTGGACCATTAAAGTTTCGAATTGATTGCTGTATTGATTATTGTACATTATTATTCATTCAAAATATTTCCCCGATTCTGATTGGCTAAAAGCACATGCATAATTTACCATACCCAGTTACTGATGACCAAATTTGGAGGAATTTTGTGTTTATCGAGGAAATTAAAAGACGTCAAAAATGCAGCGATCTTGCAGGTTAATGCACCGTTAACCAAGAAGACCAGGGGACGAGGTTGAGTTGCTTTGGTGGTGAAAACAAAAAATGACGGACATTTCACTCGTTTCAACAGTAAGAACTAGGCGAAATTATAGCTAAAAACATGGCAAGAACAGCCAGAACACAACTCGAAGGGCACCATCTGCTATTTGGAGAATATTTGTGGAGCTGAACAACCCTAAACGTGCACTATCGAAGGTGAACTTAACATCGATGGAGGTAAGCATGTTTTAGCTTTGTTTTTAAACTAGGAATTATTTTGAATGAATAATAACACAATTATTGAATTTTTTTTTTCTTATCATTTGAAAAATTGTTCAAATGAAGGCCGGAACAGTTGATTTTAAAAGTCGTTTTTCATTTGTGCGCCCTGTTTACATCAAGTTTGTGTGGTTGCACACGCTGATCAGTGCCTTCTCAAGGCTTATATTATGCTTCAGCTTATTTTTTCCCCTGATTGAGAGAGTTGTAATCAATACAGGCGAAAATAAATTCACAGATTTTCGCAGAGCATATGAACCGGTCAAATGAAACTTTATTTAAATATTTCCTCAAAAAATTGCTGGCAAAAAGCACATGACAAAATTCTAAACCCTCCGAAAACTGCCATGCAACAATCACTAAGCAATCATAGTTTTTCTAGAGACGTAAATTTTAAAGGTTATGCAGGTATCAATGTTTAGACAGAGAGAGACAGAGAGAGCGAGAGAGAGAGATGGGGTGATACGGACGTAGGTGGGGCATTTGAATACTTCTTCTGTCCCGCTCTTTGGGCCAAACTGCGATTTTCATGTTAAGTCCAGAGAGGGATATTTGATCACATTTGAACTATTTTCCCATCCCCAAGGGTCGGGGAATTTGACCAAAAATTTGGAAAAAAAAATCAAATGCCGCATACCCGTACCCCCCTCTCCGTCCAAACATCGATACCTGCACTAGTTCCTAGATTTAAGTTTCTCGGTAGCTTACCGGCAAATGAAAAACGTGACTTTTAACGCCAAAATTGGTAAATTAAGCGAAAGATAAATTTCCTACAATATTTACTGAAAAGTGTAAGCTTATAAAAACAAACCAAGCGTGTAAGTAAACACGTCAGGTGTGTCGCCTACAGAATTAAGCCTGTGATCAAATACACTATCAGCGGAAACTGAAAAAATACGTGACTTCAATTCGTATGAAAATGAGCCCGCTATACAGTTAGGTGATAATGATCAGTGGATGCTTTAGTTTGACAGCTGTCAGTTGACTTTCATAAGGATGGCGAATATTCGAACAAACGGACTGCCAATAACAGGAGGACATTTTGTGTGCGCATGCGTCAATATGGGCTGTTGAAGGGCCACAGAGGCATTTTCTTTGAATTGTTTATGTTCAGTACCAGCATTTGGAGGCTGTTTTCTGGAGCTGAATGACGTGTATTGGGTGCTACGTTCCACAAACATGTTCTTTAAGGTATCGAGGTATTTCTACGATGAAAGTGAGTTTATTGTAGTCTCGCTGTCGCCCTTGAGAGGACAGTCTTTCCTCTCGTAAAACAGTACATCGAAGACAAGATGGCGGCTGACTGTTCTCACGACCTAACATTTCGCGCACATTTTTTGAGCAGGAGGAAAAGGTCAGTATGATAGTTTTTTGTTAAACAATTATTCTATAGCAGAACTCTAAAATCGAACTTAATCGTTTCAGGATATACAGTGGTTAATTAAGTGTCCATTCTGCCGTGAAACTGTTTTTCATCCTTTCTCTGGCTTGTTTACCTCGAAATCTTGCCTTTCTCCCCAGATTAAGTTAATGATTAATGAAACTAAGAATATTTCCGCTAATGTATGGCGCTTTGATGAAGACTGTGAAAAATCGCCTTCTGCAGTAATTTTAGCTGTCTTCTCCGGTACGTCTTCGTTGAGAAATAAAATACACACACTTCAACTATAAATTTAAATCAATGTAATGATACCAGTAAGATTGTGTTTTGAAAATAAGAATATTCTATCATTTAGTCATACAAAGGAAAAAAATTACAGCAATCGGTTTGAATTCTGATTTTTTCCACCTTATTTTGATGGTACACTGTTTGTTTACATTTCATTATCCAAATTTGGCGTTTTAAAGAAAATCTAGCCTAACTCCCCAACCCCAAAATAGCACGAAATGAAACGTTATCAATACACCTTTTAAAGAAATCCTGGCTTCTGTTGCAAAAAAATCGCATTTATTCCTAAATGATACCATTTTGTGGTTACAACATTTGTTGATATGCTAATTTGTGAGACATTTCATTCACGAAGGATGTTGACTGAGAAAGGCAGCTTCTCCTCTGTATTGAACCACATTCTTGTTTAATGCATCAGTTTCTGCTTGATAATTCTTCCATGATGTACAATTTACATAAGGGGTTTATCTTGATAGAGGAAAAAGCTCTCAACAGAAACATTAATAACAGACAAATTCATCCATCCAGTTGTGTCATGTTTGTCATGTCACGTCCCAGCTCATTTGGGTCCTTTAGCAGAAGTATTTATTTTTTGAGGAAACAACATTATATGCACCCCTTTAACAAACCTCCTCTCTTATGTCTAAACAGGCTTTGAAGGTGAACAACATCGTCGGTTAGATTTATGGAGTGATGGGCATTCTCTGTTTTGAATGGATCACTACTGTCATCAAATATAAATTAATAACAAGAAATCGATTGTGGAACACAGGAACTGTTACTCAAGAGTCTCTTCAAACTAGTAGCTTAGGAAAAATCTCTGTTCAGTATCTTTTAGAGTCAAAAAAAAAAATAAAAGTACTCCTCGTTTTTTCGGAGTTCGTTTTGTCTGCAACTGATCTTATGAAATGCTCAAGTGATTGTCTCAAACTCAATCCATTCTTCATTTTCTATAGAATATTTTTTACAAATTTTTTCCGCGAAAACTTTCGAAAAACTGTAAAAACACCATAGATTTCATGTTTTTGTCGCGTGTCTCCGCGATCAGTTTAACATGAGACATCGCGCTAATAAATAAACCTCGCGTGGTAAATTCTTTCTTCGCTTTTTGTCTTAAAGCAGCTGAACATTGCTACGATACATTTCCTCCCTTATAAGTAAAACCACGAGTTTGGAAATCAAACCATAGAAATGCATTGCTTTGCCAGTGAAAATCAGACTTATACAGGAACATGATTTTTTGGCGTTGAGTCTTGAAAATCTTTAAAAGGCCAAGAAAACCTACTGCTGAAAAATCTACAAGTGAAAACCCTCGTAGAAAACGTCCGATTTTTGTAATGGAGGGTATTTTTTTGTAGGAAAGTACGGTATTCAAAACACCAACGAAATGGCTTTTAAAAGGGTTGTAACTTTAAGTGCGAGTTTTCGATTTCCCGCCATCAGATTTGATGCGCCCACGCTATTGTCGTTCAGCGGATTCACGCATGCGCATGCAAAATGCCCTCCTGTTAAATACGACAGCTTAGTGTAAGTGAGACATCTCCCTCCGTCTTGTAGTGGGGAGCGGGGGCTGAAATGCAGGTAAAATGAAGGGTCTTTTATCTGAGCCCAGAGAAAATGTATACATAAGAGAATCATGAGAGACATATCACTGATCTTTAACGAATTTAGATCTAGAGTTGCTCCTTTGTGATTTATATGCAATTACATATTTGATGTAAAAGGCTATTAGCGGAGCTCTCGTGCGAAGCGAAGCGCGCGAGCGGAGCACCGTGGGTAAGAAAATAAAGCAATCTACCCATGCGAGAAAATTTGGTAATCACGTGACCGTACACCAACCGAGCGACCGTCCGTCCGCACCACAGGCATACCAATGTAAAATAACTCAATCAACGGACGAAAACGGAAAGCGGGAATTGTTTCTGTATCCGTGTTGTCTAAAGTATTTAGCTTAGATTAATTGTCATGTCCACAAATTTGGAATATAGAGCAGGACAAAGAAAGACAAAACGAGAAAGTAGGCGGCAGGGCAGCGAAGCTCAACGAGAAAAATGGCGACAGAGGTCTAGAGCGAGAGATAAAAACAAAGGAGACATTTTTTTGTTGGAATAACAACATGAAAATTTTGTAGCGGCGGTGAAAAAATGAGAACCAATGCAAGGTGAAAATGAGCGGCACTGGAAAAAAGTGAACAAGAACACGTACGACATTTCCTCCATAAAACGTGTGACTAAGAAGTTTCTGGAAGTTTCACGCTGTAGTTGTGCAAAACAACGGCAAGGAAATGTACAAAAAAAGTGTGCTGCACGTGCAAAGTTGCTTTTTTTGCTAATTAGACCTATTGTTGTTTTTCATCGATCTTCGGCGTTGCCTTTACCGCTTAGCATTACACGATTTTATATTTTGTTTGAACAAACTATAAATATTATCGAGAGCTTCGCTTTTGGACCTCGCTAAATCTATATATTAGGATAAATAGGATAGACATTTTATTTAACCACGGTAGTTTTATCAGCTACAGGACTTGGTGCTGTTTTACATAAAATCCTCTTCCTCTTCGCGGATTTGATCACGTATCTATATAAGGACCTTTCTACACGATAAAACTCAGAAAATTGAAAAGTCAGGGGAAGGCTTTGACAAAACTTTTCTCTATAAAAGGTTAGAAAAAAAACGATCATCCTTAACCGCAACAAACAGTTGACTGGTCAGAACTTTCTAAAACGAAATACGAAGTTTTCTAACCGAGAAAGCACTTAACTGCCGTCCATGTTTTACCATTTCAGGAGGGAATGGGCCAAACGAGTCACAAGCAACAGAATTGAACTCTTACCAATTTGCAATTCCGTGAAAATAATCAATGTCCATTGCGCCGCTATGCAGTTAGATAAGTGACACTCTACTGGAGCAGTTTTTCCCTCTTGTGCACCCGTTTCACTGTGAAATTTCTTTCATTTGGATAGCCGTATTGCGAAGGCAAGTAGACGCTTAAACTGTGTACTTCTGTGTACTTGCATAATGTATTCATTCGCACAAATATTTCTGCCCAACACTAATTGTTTTTGCTGCTTTTGTTTAACTTTAATCAATCAACACATTTTAAAAGAAAAATGCATTATTTAGCAATCCTGCTGGGATAAAATACTCCGGGGACCTTGTGACAAATCACTGCTATTCGTGTTTTAAACATTAAATAAAATTCTCACCCTCATTACTAGCGTCAGTTTCTATAAGTGAAAATTTGTTAGTAGAACTCTGAGTGTAAATTTGTGATAAAAAGACCGTTTAATTAAACATTATAGTAAAGAACCAAAGAAGCTGGAAAGCAAGTGGTCCAATCAATATGTAAACTAGAGATAATCATTTACTGTGGATCCGCGTTCGTCACTTACGAAAACGAAATCGAGTCGAAGGGTGTCCAGTTTCACGGCCGAGATGCCCCTGATATGATTAATAGGGGCGTCTAATTTGCCGTCGCCTGTGATGACTCGAACATTTCTGCCTTTGTACCACTGAAACACCTCAGGATGCATTCTGACGAACCCGAAAAACTTATCGACTTGCTGATTCACCAAATCCTCGAGTAATTGCATGATATTCCAAATAAACGCCCCCACTCAATCTTTTGGCCGCTTTTTACCACTTTTTTTCCGAGCGTGTTATGAGATCTATGATAACGACGGAACAGTTTCCCAGCCTTCTGTGATCTAAAATCCGAGCCTGGTATTGCATGGACCCTGGTCATGTCTTGGAGTAGAGAGAATCGTGTTATTTCTGCTTTTAAAAACGCTGTACTTCAGGTCAATGCCCTAGAAAACGAGAACTCTCCGAACTACGATCGTTACCGGTTAAGTCTGGAGCGAATGAGATCTTTGCAGGTCCACTTCACCCACTGGCGAGCAACATGCAGCTACCCGACCTATGGCATCGATTTTACAGACTACCTCCGTGGAAACTTCAAAGACTTCGACATCGTCGATTTCCAAGGTCATGGCGAGTGTAAGAGGGTAAAGTATTGGATATCCGAGGGTACAATGGCACGAACCTTACAGCACCGTTTTGGCAGAGAAAGAACGCTTGGATGTTGCATCATGACAGCAGTTTGGTTCTCTGCAAGTTCAACGCAGCCGTTGGAGCAGTATCAAATGAAGACAACTTTGGCTTCTATGAAGGCATTAATCCCAAGTTCCGCTGTACACAGGCAGACAACTCTACTACTCAGTGGGGGTTTGCAGGGGCACCCAACGAGGATATAGTTCAAAACCACTTAACATAGCATTGTTGAACGTGTTATAGTATTTAAACGGTAGATATAGGCATATTTTTATCCCGCAACAACTTTTCATCTGTTCGGATTTCCTAGCTGAAAGTCTAGTGATCCGAAAATTATAGGGATCAAAACTTACCTTTTCGAAAATTTCAGCCAGGAAAAGGTTCTCGAAAATTCTAGGTGGCCTTTTTTAGGGTAAATATCCGTTTAAAATGGGTAATTATAGCATTTTGTAGATGTTCGAAAATCCTAGGAGAGGCAGGCAAGCAAGAAATTTTACAACAAATGTTCCGAAAATTCTAGTTCTCAAATCGTCTTCCGAACAGATATTTTCCCGAAAATTGCCCTTGGGTGCCCCTGGGTTTGGAGCTCATCTTAAAAAATAGTTTCCGGAAAATGAAATTACACAGCTCCCATGTCAGTGACGAAGGGACCTGCAAATTGCACCGCCTTTATAAACGGACGAAATGCATTCAGTATTACAGTGTGTAGTTTCGTAGATTTAAATTGTTGAAGATGTACACCCTTAAGATTAGAAACTCTTCTTTTTCGTTGATTTCATAGTCAAGTGCAGCATTTTGATTGTTTGATTGACCTCTCTGTGTATAATTGTTGGAGAGCTTTTTTGGCTTACATCACTTGAGTCATCACTGAATATTAATGATTAAACATTTCTCACTAGAATGGGGTCAAAATGGCAGGTTTTTCCCACTAATAATATTAATTTTGAAAAACTCCTGCGGTGGTTCTGAAAAGGTTCGCCTTGTATGTGCGTTAAATAGGAATGGGTAATTCAATGGAAAATGGTCACCTTTGAAAACAACTTATTGAGCTTCTTCTATCTTATAAGAGAAATTTACAGTTGACGGTGCTAGGCTACACTTTGGTCATGAAACAGGGACGGCGGAGCGCAATTTGAACTGGGGGATAAGGTGTTAAACAAAAACATTTTTCCTCTACTAAAGTCGTGGTCGTTTTACCTGCTACCCTTTCAAGCTGTGCCCTTTCAAGCTGTGCCAGCTTCGCTTTGTTCGTTAATCATTCATTTTCCAAACCTTAATACAACTAGGCATTAATAAGTTAAATAGATTACAATAACCTCGACTAATTACAAAATAAAAGTTTAAACGATGACTATTTATAAGATAAAAACCAACTGTAAGCGTAAAAACTGATAATTGTAACCATCTTGAAATTATGGAGATTAAGAACTGTGAGGAGAAAGACAGATAACATGCAGAGCTACAGCCCGCATCACCGTGGCACAAATGAGGCCCACAAGTTTATTAGCTTTTAGCTATTTTGTGTTTTACTAAATAAAGTGTTTACTTGCTCACTTCACACTGACCTAGTTTAGCAATTGAATCCCTTTTACCTACTGTTTGTGCACTATGTTTTAAAAATTGTTCAAAAAACGAGCAGGAGTTTATTATCAGGTTCAAATACTTTAATAATTTTTGTTCTAAAAATTAGACGTAAAGTTTAGCTTTGCTTTTATCTATATAAAAACACTCATTAAACACTGATTTCTGTCTTTTTCTTTATGAACTATTAAATAAATGAGTTTTTGAAATAATGAAGACAACCAAAACGGGAAATTTTCTCGACTTTTTAACAGCCATAAAACCTTTTGTCAACCTTTTTAGGACCGAAATGACAGATTTTTAGCCCTTTTAGACACTTCAACGAGTGAAATCCCTACTCTTTCATATACCTTTCATATAACTATCTCGGACGGAGCCTCCCCGTATAGGCCATTATTGGGAGTACCCCATCGGGCTTAGTGCCCGTTCTTGGGTCCTTTATACTAAACGAGCCTGGGAAACTTTAAAAAAAGACACAACAACAGATCAGAAAGCAAGGTGCCTCAAAGTTACGGATCCAAGCTATTATTAATCTGGAATAACATTTCTAGGGTAAATTAAGTATACACTGAACTGTCTCCTTGCCTTATCTCTTTAATCCCTTGTGTTCACATACAAATTCTCCATATATTTCGTGAAACATTAGTAGAGAAAAACATCAAAGCGCTTTCCCTGTTGTGATCATTTTATAAATTCTCATAAACTTTTCTCTTGATGGTGTATGAATGATGTCGGGAGAAAATCGATTTGGTCAGTCTTCGCATGTACCAATAACTTTTTAATCTGTTGTTAAAATTCTTTTGTACTTTCATTTCAATGAACGAAAGTTCTTTGGCAGAACGTTTGAGAGGGATTATTTAGTTTTAACTATTTTACAAGACGAAATTGTATTTCTTTGGTGTGATTACTTTTACTTTCACCGGTAAAAAGAACTGAAAAGGGGGTAATATCTATTCAATTTAGCCAACAAGCAGCCTGTCGAGTTGGGTTTTCGGGCTGCATTCGTGCCGTGTTACTCACGCGAGATTTTACAACCCTGCAGGGGTGGGTTGGGAAAGTACACTCTAAGAACCCCCACGACCTAAACAAGCGATGAGTATTGGCAGGAAAGGATGAAGGAAGACGCTCGATTGTAAAGAGGATTTTACATGTTGAATTTGACTGAAGCTTTAAATGTTTATTCATTCCGAAACAGTCGACGACAGTAGGTGTTTGAGAAAACGGAAACTAAGATCTAAAAACTCACTCATCTTGCATTAATTTTTAGGACGCGCATTAAACACATTTCTTTTCACATTATTTTCTTTATGAATTATTTGAGACATTTTGAAACATCTTTTAGGGCTATAGGTATTCGCAAAAATAGACCGAAAAATTTCGATAAATTAAAAAGTTGTTAAAATTCATTCTTGGCTCCGAGCCTTGGATAACAAAAGAAATCACCTTGCAAAACAGGGATGAATAATACATTTCTTTTGTTTTATAACTCCAATGCTTGAAGCCAAGAATGAATTTTAACACATCTAAATTGGTATTTTAGGTTTTGAAGCTTAAAAAGTACAAACCTTAATTCTAGTTGAAGACCTTATACCAGTTAAATTAGCCGGCGATCGCTCAAAGAAATTTTATCGTTGCCTTTTATATATGTAACTATGAACTACCTTGAAAAAAATTTACCAGTTTATACATTATATGCAACATGAACCGCAAGTAAGAAGTAATTTAGTCCTATGACACTTTTCATTGCCAAGTCGCTAGGCCTAATTATTCCGCGCGGTCTATGCGTTTTGGGTCACGTAATCTGAGAGAGTTTCGCCTCGGATACGTGACCAAAATGCATTGGACGAGAAGGCCCAGGAAGATGCCGCAGAGGGACTTGGCACTATTTTCCCTTCAGCGCGGTAGGGAATGGAGAGACCGCGGGCTCACCACTGGAAGAAACGCCCAGCATATAACATTCTCCAGTAATGTACAAAACGAACACTTTTTTAACCCACAGCGACACATTTAACCCGAGACAACCCTAAAGACTTTTTTCCATGTCCAGGAGAAAATGCGTCAAAAAGTAAACTACATGTCATCGTTTGTCCGAAGTTCCAGATGTTTACCACGCACTTGTTATTTTCCTTTTTCTATATTCTGCATCTGCATTAATCCTTTAATAATCAGTAAGAAATATTGTCATGAGGTAGGCTAGGTAAAGAGCTAATTTCTTTCACTTCGTTTACTTCTAAATACTAATGGCTTTCCACTTTTTTGCTCAAGATCTTCTCTTTTTTTGTATTGTTTGTGCCGCCATATTTATACACTGTCTTTGTGTTCCCCTGTATAAGCTATACTGCTCGGTGAGGTCAGTTCAACGTTTTTTCCTTCATAGTACTAAAATAAGAGTATACATTTCTTGCTTCCGTTACTGAATTGGACTTTGACGCTCAAGTAAAGCTTAATTCTTCGCAGTGGGTACAGACCCTGTCATCAGGCAGGAATGGGCAAAATGAGTCAAACAGCATAATTTAATTCTTACCAGTCTAACAATTCCGTGAAAATAATCAATGTCCATTTCGTGGCGTTGTAGTTGGATTTAGCGACAAGTTACTCGAGCAATTTGTTTCTCTTGTGCAGCCATTTTAGTGCAAAATTTCTTTCATTTGGATGTAGCCGCATTACGAAGGCAAGTAGACCCTTAAACTGTGTACTTCAGTTGCATAATGTATTTGCACAAATATTTCGGCCCAATATTAATTGCTTTTGCTGCTTTTGTTTAACTTTAATCAATTAACACATTTGAATGCGTTATTTAGCAATCCTATTGAGATGAAATACTCTGGGAACGTTAGGATGAATCACTTCTATTCGTGTTTAAGCACTAAGTAATGACTTCAGCATAAAATTGACCTAAACATGACAGCAATATCCTCGTGAGATGCTCCAAAAGGGAGGCTATGAACATGATACAAATTCGAATCCCTCTTTACTTAATCCTTCCTAATACGGAGAGCTCTTGTAGTCCGATCCAAGGTTGTCAAATTTCATACATTCCTTACATCTTTCATTTTTTCACCTCTATAGTGGACACAGGAAATTGCCTCAGTGGTCTGTATGTAAGGGGGTGTTTACATGACACCAGAGACGACTTTCGCGCCAGGGCGAGGTCACTCCAGTTCCCTCTCATGGCTCTATATTTGTTTACATGATACCACCACAAAATGTCATGCCGGGGCGAGTCACCCCAGCGTAAGTTTACCCCGGTTGTTGTACAGGAGCTAGAAATTCACTCCGGTGCAAAATTTCGCAACGGTATCATGTAAACACGAAACGACCACCCGTTTCGGTGTGAAATCGGTCTGCAGGTGAACTGGATCGGCCGGTAGCGAATACGCAATGTTTGCGATTTTGAATCGCACGTGTACTTTATCAACATGAAGTGTACCTTCAAATAACCGAGATATGAAGTAACTTATAATAATAATAATTAATAATAATTTATGAACTTATTGTGCGCAGCTTAACATGAGAATGATCAGCTGCGCATTCAAAACTCTCTGCAATTTGTTAAGCTGGTAGTTAGGCAGCCCATACAAAAGACTGTTACAATAATCAACACGAGATGTAATAAATGCATGGACAAGCATTTCCGTTGATTCTCGAGACAAATACTTGCGAATGCGTTTGATATTATGCAAATGGTGAAAGGCAACACCACATAACTTGCTAATATGAGTTGACATAGTGAGCTGCTCATCAAACCATGAGCCTAGGTTTCTAGCTACTGTTACAGGACAAACATCATCGACCCAACCCTAATGCAATTGACAGGGTCGTAACATGGCATATGGGCTCAGGGCTCAAAGCCCAAAATATGACTTGGATCAGGGCTCAGAGGAAAGGGCTCAGGGCTCAGAAGAATGGGATCAGGGATAACAAGGCTTTTCAGCCCGAATCAGGGATCAGATTTATTACACGGTCTAGAAATCTCTTATCACAATATTTTTCAGCTTAATAAGGTTTGTGTCCATAGAATTTCCTGGCCGAGGTACATTACCTATTCTTGCTTCCGGTTGGCGGCAGTTCCTGTCATACGAAGTCCTGCTTGTTTGACGAAAACAAGGTATCATATTCTTAATTTATTAATTGTTGAGGGCACCGTAATATGAATTTCAAGTCACTTTTCTCGCTTTTTAACGCAACTCCTCAACGCGCTGTCAACGCCAGAAGGCAGAGAAAGCGATTTATACATATCTTTTTTTGCGAGAAATGGAAAGACAGAAAACACAGAAAGCTGGGTCCAAAGGCACTGGAATGTCTTCGAACTTCGCACGGCAAGAGTAAACCTTAAGGAAGATATGGACGAGGAAACGAGCGACGAAGGAAGGCATTGCAGAGCTTTGCGAAAGAATTCGGACGGGGTGTACGACAGCAACGAACGAGAGGGAAGACCAAAGAAAGAGCTGGTACACTTTCCACTTGCTCTGAGAATGTTCAGAAGGGATGCGTCAGCATATGGAGAAGTCGATCTGCTGAAAGAGGTTTAAGGGAGTGAAGGACAAACTACAGTTCAAGACGCAGCCGAAGAATATGAGATTATCTATTCAAAAGGCGACGTAGTTGCTCTCAAGCACAATTAAAAGAGGTATATCATTCCTTTCTTCCTTGTAGTTCTTTCAAGAGATCTCCACCATAAAGGTGACGCATTCCTGGAAGATCACATGGGTTTGTGATGGCTGTAACAGTCAGAAGAAGATCCCCTTGTATACCAGACTGGACACCGTGACGATAGAAATTCACCTAAGTGTATCATCGGGAAAGTTCAAATAATAAAAGATGGTAACAACTTCTGTTTGGGCTGCCTTGAAGAGCAACGCCTAGTTGCATTGCTCCAGGGGTCAATTGAAACAGATGATTCACCTGCGTCAGGTAGTGACGAAGAGGAAGGGGAGGAAGCTCAGACGGACAACTTTACCACTGCACGAAAAAACGGATTTAAACAGGTTTGCAACAGAAGTAAATATGATGCAAATTTAGCCCTCTAAATTTGACCAAAATTATCACCAGAAGTAATTATGATGCAAACACAGATGTTTATTCCGTTGAAATTGCGTGCAAATACGACGTAAACCTGAAATCTACTTTACATTTGCTTCGTATTTGATACCTCCGCAAATCAACAAATCCGGTGTACATTTACTCCAGATTTGCTCTCTGTGGAAAAATAATGTTTGCTTTCTGAAAAAATCTGAGCAAACATGTTGCAAATCTATATGTATGCATCACTGTTTTCCAACGTTTACCCAAACTACATCCAAAAACTTTCGCGTGCGTTTTACTCATGTAACATGTGCAAATATTTACTTTTGGACGAAATTTGCATTACTTCCAAATAACCAAATTTGGGAGTGTTTTCTCACATTTGCTTTCGGTATACTGATAGTATTCGTTCTGATGAGGGATGAACGTTCGAAACGTCATCTTTTCGAGGTGACAATGTCAACCTAGTAGACTAAACAATTTTCCAACTTCCACTCCGCAACCGACACAGCATCAGTCCACTTTAAAGGAAAACTAACCCCTTAACAAATTTTGACCATGAACTGAGGCATTTCGAAGGCAATAAAAAAGGAAAGAAGGGTAATCTAAAGTGTGTATAATGAACACAAGTCATGGGGTGGATAAAGATCCCCCCTGAAAGCATAAACTTTATTTCCAAAAGAATTTGGAATTAACTCTATTTTACATCAGTTCAATTATACCATGTCATAGAAAATACAGTCAATCAGAGTACAGATCGACTAGTTGACGGTTTTTTAAAGAATCGGTTTGAGCAATGTCACCGCCAAATTTTTCCACTGGCGTTTATTAGTCTTGTCTTGTATTTTCTTTAAAAAACGCTGCATTACAATGAAAAAGAGTGACATTGGGTAAGCCATTCAAACAATTTTTCTTTCCAAAACGTAGAAAGCATGTCAGCAAGATAGCGAAGTTTTGCTAAATTTCAACGAATTGCTTAAAAATAAAGATAAATTCAAGTTTATGGTAGCATAAACTGATGTTAATAAACTTGAGAATTATGCCCTATGAAACCACACTTATTGACGTACTAGCAACAGTCATGTCTGTTCTTTTGTCACACAAAATTCAACGTTTGAATAAGCTTTTGTACTAAGTATAATGGTAGGTACTAGCTCAAAGTACAAGAAAGAACAATGAACAGTAACTAGTTGTTTGATTACAATGTATCCTTCTCCTTTGGCAAAGTCCACTGTAACTTAGAATGATATATTTACTAGACTGCACTAAGGTTCCATTCATATTACCACATGCTCATCATGCACATGAGCTCCTCTATTTGCCGTACACTGTCCTTTCCCAGTCATTTCTCTTAGGGCTTCGGTTCATTCACAACAGCGTTTTTTCCCTCCCACCCACCCTTTTTTCTGACTGGAACCTTTGTTAAGCTCTTTCGATTATTAATTATGTTCACTATATATTTAGCACGACCAGAACGTATTTCAAGCAGATCATTATTTTATTCTACATCTAAATGTATGTTAAAGATTAATCATTTATATTATGGTGTTATACTGGACTAGGTCTTATTCCTTCATTAAGTTCCTGGGATGTGAAACTACTGTCTTGCTTCCCAATAAAAGTAGTGGCAGGGAAGTGCAACCCCTAGCTGCACTTTACCCCACAGTAAGGCTTAGCCCTTGGAGACAAGTCTGGAAAAATTTCCACTCCAGGGTGTGGACCCCCGGTCACACCTGATCTGTACTCCACCCAGGATGGCCACCCCTCCTGGTTCCCCTTAGTTCCTTGTGACTGGGGGATATGGGCCTCACCCCCAGAGACTACCAGGACTCCTGTCCAGGGTGGCTACCCCCTGGTACCACTCAATCTTGTCTCCCCCCAGGAGGGCTTCTCTCCTGGTCCCCTTACCCCTAGATTTAAGCGCTTCCCTGCCACCAGAATTTTGCCCATTACCTATTGTGTGTTTTCTGTGTGGTACCTGGCATAGAGCCTTTATGCAAAAACACTGCCAATTGGAAGAGTTTATTAACTCAATTATTAAAAAATAATAACTACAGTGTTCATGTAGTAGAAGAAAGAAAATCATAAGAGCACAACATGCTGAATCCTTTGTTAGAAGTCTCCCAGTCCAAACCAAAACTGATCCCAATACAAGAAAGTTATCTACTTTGTGAGTGCTTATACACTAGGGATTCACCATCGGGTCTTGACACCTCATTTCACTGCCATTTTCAATAAGTAAAGCGATGTTAAGGAGTGATTAAAAGCAATAGAACCAGATCCACTCTCCATCATGTATTTTAGGATCCAGAGCTTCTCTTTCAAATGACCCACAAGGGAATGGTATTTACTGCAGAAATAACACGGTCCATAACCAAAACTTGTCGCCCATTATTTGTATTCACTACAAAGTTTGCTTTGGCTAACTTAACAGATGAAACATCTGTCCTGTCCCGTTTCCGGTGTGCTGCCTAAAGATGAAAACATCTGGGCAACTACAAGCTTCCACCTACTCTGCAGTGAACACACACTTGTGAAATTTAAGTCATTGAACAATGTTGAGTTTAGCCTTTGGTATTTACCTTTCTAATCATGATGATTTCACACAGTGAGTCTGGAAAAATGAATACCTCCGCCAATCATCGAATTTACCTTACAAGGGAAGCTTCCGCTAACTTAACAGATGAAACATCTGTCCTGTCCCGTTTCCGGTGCGCTGCCTAAAGATGAAAACATCTGGGCAACTACAAGCTTCCACCTACTCTGTAAGGAAAACCGAATTAAAGGTAAATATTTCACCATCACTTTTCTGTAGTTCCAAGCTTGCAAAGGAGGTCATTTGAAAAAAGAAACCCTGGTAGTATGACCAGAAACAGTGGTTTTGACTTTCAATTGAGCCTGAAGTAAATAACAATTCTCCCACAGAATGTGAAATCCTTACTTGTGCAGTAAAATATGTCATACAATAGTCAAATCCACATTATAAATTTAAATTCATAGCCAGGTAATTTTAAAAACAGAAGAAAAATAACCTAAGATCAGACAGAGTGGACTTGGCTTTCAGTCAACCTAAAGCAAAACTTCAGTAACTTATCAGTAATTTTATTAGAAAGCTATTTTTTTAAAATAAAGGTCACAATATTAACATCATTAAAACACTTTTACCCTTTAAGCTCCAATATCCAAATACAAAATTTCCCTAATATAATAATCTCCACGCATTAGTCGAGAGAATTAATTTGTTGAAAGATGAAACCCTTCTCCTTGTGGTGTTTATGTTGTTGTCATAATCTTTTCCTTTAATGAAGTAATGATGTTGTGAAGGGAAAACTGTTTTGGGTGACTCTTGGGACTAAAAGGGTTTGTAGCCCTGCCACAGTGTCCTTGACAGCGTGATATACAGTTTTAGTTAGTGGTGATATGACAACCAATAGAGAGAAGGAGTATGATGTCATTTTACCATGGTAGCAACATTTCTGGATCACAACAGTGGGGAGCTTAAGCAACAACCACAGCGACGGCAACGAACGGCAAAAAAGAAATCAGTTTATTATATAAACACCAATGAAATACTAGGTGAGCTTTCTTGCGAGAACTTGATATCTTCACAGGTGAAAATAACATGTTATCTTCACATGTGAAAATATCACCTTTGCTATGGCTAGATAATAAATCGTGCCTTTCACACCAAAAAACGGTTAAAGTGAAATGGTTTGGTATTTCATTGGTGTTTACATAATAAATAGGACATTACATGGCCGCTTGGAGATATGAAATTTCTCTTCTCGTTCAACACTTGAAGAGAAATTTCTTATCTCCGCGCGGCCATGTAATATCCTCTATTTATGTTAGCAAAACAACAACTTTGCAAGTGCATCACGTTTTTTTGTACATCTCTTATCCATTGTTGCAAGTCTGCAACTTGAAACTTCCTAATTTCACGTCACTGGTTTATGGAGTTGGTGAACACAGAACAAGAATTTTCTTTTTCTTTTTCTAAAGTCAGATATGGTCCTTTTGGATTCAACCCCAGAAAATAATTTCGCCACAATTTTACAAATTAAAAGAAAGTGAATAAGATCGATAAGTTTGAAACAGTGTGAATTCACTTTTTAAGTGACCTTTTCACTTTGTTGTCATCAAGAAATTTTACATAACGACTTCTCCTCTCTATTTAATATCAAGAACCTAATCATGATGACAGAGACTTGACACTGACCAAGAGGTGATCCAAAGAGGGCCTAGCATTTGGGTCATTCTTTAAGCTGCATTCACTAAGGGAGAGAAGTGGCTTGCAACCAATCTTGGTTGCAATCTGCCTTAACAGACGGCCAAGGGCATATACATCACTTGCATGAGATGGAGGGTGAGTTCCTGCAACAACTTCAGGGGCAACATGTGTGTACTTCTGTTTGTATGTCTCTTGTTCTTGTTTGGACAAAACTTTTGTTCTGGCTTCCTGTATTCTAATGCACTTTCCAAAATCAATGATTACTGGCACAAACAGTGTATTTTTGTATGTAAGCAAGATGTTATCACCTTTTATATCCTGATGAATCAGTCCAGAGTTGTGCAACACTTTGAGTGCTTCTAGAAGTTGCAAAATGACATCAAACCACTCTTGATTTTTCAAAACCAAGGTACGGCTGTGTAAAGTCCTGTGAAGAGTGTATGCTTTGCCTTCCACATTGCAAAACTGAAGTACTAACAGGTAAGGTTTGCTTTGTACACAAATACCATAAACGTAGGGAAAACATGGGTGATCCAACTGTTTCATCAGTGATGCTTCTTTGATAACACTGGACTCTGATGACAGGTGTGTGTTAAATTGTTTAACAGCAACTGAAATCCCTCTGTAATACATTTTATAGCAACGTCCAAAGACACCACATCCCAGTAACAGAGGTTGGTCAGTAGAACCACTTGGATCTTTCACATGACTGAGATGACTTCTCTTTACATGTGACACCGGTTGATCTGCAGAAATTGAGGCATCTTTATGTGCCTGTTTCTCATTCTCCATGGTGTTTGATTTATCCATTTTGCTAGTCTGAAAAAAATTAATACCATTCTTGCCAATTATGAAATCTGATTGGTTCTAAGTAGCCCTTACATTTTTTAATTGCTTTATTTTGCTGATGCACCCATTTCACCCTCCCTCTAGATCTACTCCTGATCTAGTATAAACAAGAATCGCGTCCGAGGGCTTTGAAATTTGAAAGTTTTCTGAGGAAGCATACCACAGACTTTTCCAACAGGAGGGGACTAGCGGTACCTTGTTGTTACAGTCGGTTACTGTATTTAAACCTGCTGGCTACTTCAATTAGCATTGAAATCATTGTAATGAATACATAGCTGTGAGGTATTTGCAGAAGCGGCAGATGTTAAAAGTCTTAACCCTTCACTGTAAACATTAGATGATATTTAACGGACTACGAAAAATTACATCAAATGACGTTCCTACCCGTTCACGAAGATGTAGGGCATGCCATTTTGCGTAGTACTTCCTCGCAAGATGGAGCAATCTTTCATTCTTCGCTAGGGTCATCGCTCGCTCATCTTCAAGTGCTAACAAAGCTTTTCTTCTTTTATCTTCTTTGTTCGCCGCTCTAGCCTTTCTCTTTCGCTTTCTTCTTTCGTTCTGCATTGCTGCTCTTTCTTTAGGGGTATTCTTTCTCCAAGAAAATGGCTGGTTTGTCTTCATAATATTTGTACGATGCTTATTACTCCCGTCCATATTTCCCGCCTCTGAGCCTTTTCCCGCGTAAAATTGGGTCAGCAATGTTGCTCAATTAGATAATTACTTCATTTATGACACGCGAAATCTCCATAACCCCAACCCCATTCAGATAAGGAAACAATAAATCACTGAGTTCAGTTTCTGTTGAAAAGCTTGAATTTATTATCACCAGATCATAACAATAAATACACATGTATAGATAAAACATATTATTATGCATTCAAAATATTTCCCCAATTCTGATTGGCTAAAAGCACATGTTTAATTCACCATAACCAGTTACTGATGACCAAATTTGGAAGAATTTTGTGTTTAACGAGGAAATGACGTCAAAAATGCAGCCTTCTACAGTTTAATGCACAGTTAACTGAGAAGACCTGGGGACAAGGTTGAGTTGTTTTGGTTCTGAAAACAAAAATGGCCGCCACTTCAACCGTTTCCAGCGTAATAACTACAGTTGGAACTAGGCAAAGTAATAGTTAAAAACATAGCAAAACCAGCAAGAAGACAACTCAGAGGGCAACATCTGTTATTTGGAGAATATTTGCGGAGCTGGACAAACCTAAACGTACACTATCGAAGATGAACTGAACATTGATGGATCAATGGAGGTAGGCATGTTTTAGCTATGTTTTTGAACTAGGAATTATTTTGAATGAATAATAAAACAATTATTGAATTCGGCTTTCATATCACATGAAGAATTATGGAGATCTTGGAGGGAGTTATCCGCCTCGGCCTACGGTCTTGACGGATAACACCCTCCTTGATCTCCATAATTCTTTATAACATACTCAGCCTCATTCATTAACTGTCAAATATTAACTATTAACACTTGAGAATTAAATCATGCCCTTTTTTAAAATAATAAATTTCAAAATACAATAAGTTTATTATGGAATTTCCTTTAGGTGTGCAATATGCACAATAAAAACAGCTTTGTTGTGCTTTAAATGTGCTCATCACTGGCCATAGGCAATCATTATTGTGGTTCCATTTTTTAGGCAATCATTGTTGTGGTTCCATGGTTTTACATACAAATCCTGTAATTTCGAAATTTTCAATACTGTCATGAAAATAATACCAAAAGCATTACAGGGCTCAAATGTCCTTTTAATTCATAACAGGCAATTTGATCCCTTAAGTGTGTAAGGAAAAGATTTGACGACAGTTGAAAAATTTTAGAACTTACAAGGATTTGTATCGAAAACCATGCAAGAGTAAATGAGCGGCAAAAGTTGTTTTTCTCATACAAATACTTCTAACTTTGAGTGGCCGTTGCACTTACTACTTTTGAAATATACGACTGAAAATTCTCAGGCTACCTAATTTTAATATGCTCTTTCAGCTTGTGCTAACAAAATTTTTTAAAAAAGAACTGTTTTCATGTTTACCAAAGGTTGATCATGTGACCACAGTTACGCAAAGACCCTATTGTGGCCTTTTACCACCATACTATTTATGAATGAATGTAAACAGGCCAGGCAACTATAAACTATCCTTCCTGAAATGACCAACTGTTTCAAAATATTGTTACCCTTAAAGCTGTTTTTCGCTAACAACAGAGTCACAGTCAGAGTCGTAATCAGAAGTGTGAAAACAGCGTTCTAATTCCACTTATGACTCCATCACTTACCAACTAGTGAAAACCCAATTGCAAGCAGAGGCAGAATAATTATTAAACTCATCACAATGCCTTTGAATGGATTGTTTTTTCACCAGATCGAGTCTTACAAAATGTATGACTCTGATTATGACTCCGATTTTTGATTGTCACTGAGTCATAAGTGCTCTTACACGCCTATAAAAGTTTTTAAAAACTAAAGTTAAAAA